CCTTAGATGATTGGCTCAACCCAGGTTTGTCAACCCCAGCTCTCTTGACATTTTGAACTGGAAAATTCTTTATCATGGAGGCTTTCCTCTACACTGAGGGGCGCCCAGCAGCATCCCTGGCCTCGACTTACTAGATGCCAGTAGCTCCCCGAGACCTGCCCCAGTTATGACAGCCAACACTGCCTCTAGACATTGCCACCTGTTCCCTGGGGGCCATCATCACCCCGGGTTGAGAACCTCTGACTCAAACTCTCTGGGAGGCCCTGGCTTCCACCCAGGTCAGATGGGAATAGTCATCCTGATCTGCCAGCTTCACAAATATGGATTGGGGCTAAAACAGAAGTGTTCAGCTCTCCCCTCTCGGGACTGCTTTCCACCCCTCCCTCGGAACCCTCTTCATCTGAAGGGGGCTCCACTGTTTATCCCCCTCAGCCCCCCTCACGGTCTCTTTGAATAAAGACACACACACACACACACACACGCACACACACACACACACACCTGTAATCATAGCCTGAGGGGGTGAGGGGGCTTCCGTTACCATTTCTAAGATAATCCCAGAGAGCTTGGGTTAGAAGAGACGGTTTGAGGAAAATGGAGGGAGAAAAGAATGGGGAGAACTCCCAGACTCTGGCTCTACCCACTCGCTTCCCTGCTTCCCAGCCCTGATGCTTCCAGAACCAGGAAGTCAAAGTGCACCCCACCCTCAGGAGAACGGGATGTGCTTAGAGCAGGGAAAGGGGGATAGTCACTCTCCCGCAGAACCTCCCTGATGATCCCCTCAACCTGGTGGCCTCTTTTCCTGCCCCTTCTTCTGTCTCCGTGGCCCTTGGAGCTGAACCTGCGGAGGAATCGCATGGGAGGGTCTTCTCCACGCTCCACGTTGGGGGTGCATTCACCTCGACCCCTCAGTGCCAGCTCAGAATAAATGCTCCATAAAACATGCCTAACATGAGTTAGGGTTTGGTCTCAGGAGCTCAAACCAGTGGCAAAGACAGACAAGCACACACACACACATGACTCCAATATTGGAGTAATATCACTAGTATCATTAAATCCTATGATGGAGGGACGCATATGTGACACAGAGCACAGGCCATGTGATCCTAGAAGGAGCTCAACAAATACTAGTTGACCAGCCAGGTCAGTGGGGAGAAGGTGACTAATGTTTCCTGAGCATCTACTAAACCCCAGTCTTTTTCACACATGTTGCATTCTTCAACCCTGAAACACCCTCCCATGTAGAATGTAGCAGCCTCTATACACAGGTGAGGAAACCAAGGCTCAGGGAGGTCAAACAACTCGCCTAAGGTCACACAGCTGACACTCTGGCTCCAGTGCAGCCCAAGGCATTAGCTCTGCTAAAAAGGGACAAGCCACCCCTTTTCCAACACCTTTATCCATCCTCAACACCCCCTGTCAGCTGCTCCACACAGGGGAGGTGACTTCACAAAGACCACACACAAGTTGCAGTACAGTGGACGAAGGGGACGCACTGAGGCCAGCTGACTCACTCATCCTTCTCCAGCACAGCCGTGGCCCCTCACTGTGGCAACCTCCCAGCAAGGCAGCTGGGAGGTTGAGAGCATAGAGCAGCCTGCCCTGACTGTAATGCCCACCGAGTCTGAGGAAGTTCAGCCTCTATCTCAGTTTCTCTGTCTACAGCAGGGAAGTTATAATAGTAAGCCTAACCAGTGGGGTTGTTGTGAGGATTCAATCAGCTAATGCATGTAGGGTGTTTAGAATAGTGCCAGGCATGTAGTGAGCCCTCAAGCGCTGCTAACTATTATTTTTAGAAATGCTATATAAGGGCTCACTACTCATAACTGAGGCAGGATTCCTAATATCTTCTCATCA